GGATGACTTCAGTAAACCAATGTTTCAAAGCTATTAGCCTGAAGATGCTTTGTTAACGTTACCAGCCACATTGAGGATGAAAACAGTAATGTATCAAGAGGAGGGATTTCCTGAAAATTAGCCAATCACAGGCAGTTTTCTTTCTGAAGTTGTTCCCTCCCTCAAAGTGACAAAAGTTGACATGAGTGCAGAGAAACAGGCTCACATGCGAGTAGGGGAGAGGATGCAGTAGCATAAAAAGCAAAAAATGAGAGAAGGAGCATAAACTGTTGGATATGATATATTAGGGGCCTAATAGTGTTAAATCAGCAGAGAAACGTCAAAATGCATGGAGATTAGATTTATGCATGTATTTTAAATTAAACCCGTTTGTATTCAATGCAATTCAATTTATTTATATAGCGCCAATTCACATCACATGTCATCCCAAGTCGATTTACAGTTCAACTAGATCATATAGTCACATGGATTTATTTTTTTTTATTTTTTCCTACTTGCTTTGATTCTGTTTTATCTTCCTGTATTTTAATCATGTAAATCATGTAAACATTGTCTTTGTACTGAATTGTGCTATACAAATAAATTTGCCTTGCCTTGCCTTGCCTTGCCTATAGTTGCCTGGAATAGGCTTTGAAGATGATGTGCAGGTCACATATTAAATATAACACTAAAGGACATGATTAAAGGTCAAAGTTGCTTTAATGATTAAGGTTTGTCAAGAGGCCTGGATTCCTGAGAAGGTTCAAGTTTTTCCAAAAGTTTAAGATTATTTAAAGCTCTGTGATTCTTTAACGGTTAAGATGCTCAATGGTTGAGGTACTTGAAATGGTAAAATATTTAAAAAAAATTAAAGGTATAAAGTTTTTAAGCTCATAAAACGGTTTTAAACCAACATGTTTAATTGTGTTCTTAATTTTAGATCCTCAACAGGCCTGAGGTTGTTTAACTCTTTGATGCCTGTTGTTGGTAATAAGCAACAAACCATTTGCATTACACTGCAAAAAATGTAAATTAAAGTTAATTTTTTCCTAAAATAAGAGCATTTTTTCTTGAAATGAGGAAGTAAGTGAGACACTTTGCCATCGGAACAAGACAATGTACATTTAAAATAGGTAAAAAAAAATCTTATTTTAGGTGCATAATATTTAATTATCTTATTTTAAGGGTGAAAATGCTCATTCCATTGGCAGATCATCTTATTTTCCTTCTCATATTAACGGTAAATTTACTTATTGTAAGGCAGTTTTAAAATAAGTGTATTTACACTTTTTTTTTTAATTTTTGCAGTGTAGGCAAACAGCCACCTTAGCGTTTTTCCATCACCCCAGTGCTAGTCACAGTATATGCTATTATGTAGTTATAACTGCTGTTACAAAATATACTTTACCTTCATTTCTATTTATTTAGTAACATTAACCATTTTAATTTGGCATCGCATTGAAGGGAAAACATGCATATGTACATATATATCAATTCAGGCTTCAGGAGGTTAAATGTTGCAGCTAAAAAGTTTGGAAGACCTCATACAGCCCAGAACCTGCAGTGAATGCTTTTTTTTTCCAATAATGGTACTTACTATAAACTCAGAACTGTTTTAAAAGCTTCCTCCTTCCTTTCTAATCTACTTCTACCTTGGTCTGACAGACCAACAGCCATCAGGTCTACCTTGAAGTCGTATGTGGCGTCAGGGTTCTCGTCACAGGCGATGACCTCGGGGGCCATCCAGTACGGCGTCCCGATAAATGTGTTCCTTCTCCCCACCGTGCGGTCCAGCTGGGCACTCACACCAAAATCCACTGTGGAAACACACAAGCAACACCGAACACAATGTAGATATGGCTTTTATCTTCACATTGTTTAGCTTTGGGTTCCTAAGTGCAACCAGTTGCACCAAAAGTTCCTCACCCAGTTTAACTTCTGCGTTCTCAGTCAGTAGCACATTCTGGCCCTTTATGTCCCTGTGGATGACTTTGTGCTGGTGGAGATGGGTTAAGCCCTGAAAAAAAAGCACAAATAACACCACAAGTTGTTGTTTTTTTTCCTTTTTTGCACAGAACTACTTGTGGGAACCCACAGATATACCTGGTGTACCTCAGGGAGCCGGTTTGGGTTTCCTTTAGTTTAGGTTTTGGTCAATATAGAATTTTTTAAATTTTCTTTTTTTGTTTTGTTTTTTTTTCCTCACCCTAAGTATCTCCCTGCAGATGTAGGCGATCCACTCCTCCTTCAAAGAATTCCCTTTGGTGTTTTTGATCAGGTCCGTCACCGATCCGGCCCCACAGAACTCCATCACCAGCTGTCAGAGGAATAAACAGACTTTCAAAATGATCCACTCCAGTTTTATCAATACAAAATAAAAATAAAAATCACCTAATAAAGACAATATCTGATATAATATGTAACATTTTATCTGTTGATTAAAGCAAACTCCTACCCATAGCTGGTCATCCATTCCAGGAGGGTTTTTCTTGATAAAAGCACCATAATAGGTTGCAATATTTCTGTGGTGACTGTACTTCTTCAGCATATTAATCTCTGCTTTAATCTCCTCTTCCTCATCCTAAAGAATATAAACAAGCAGATATAGAAGGTCAGGACAAGGATGTTTAGCAGATATAGAGATATCTGCTGTGAGGCAGAAATAATGACTGTGAGTGTGACACTTACTCCAGTAACGTCCATGACCTTGATAGCAGCAAGCTGGCCTGTTTTGACATGGCGACCCTGATAAAAAAAATAACAAATGAACAGAAGATAAAAATAGGAAAACCCAAACATTCAGTCAGTTCTAAACTTTTTGCCTCTATGAGCCACTATTAGTGTGATTGCCTCTTCAGTAACAGAGGCGTTTTGGAGGATTGCTTCATATAGATGTGTAACAGAATGCAAAGATAGGGACAACGTTAGATAGTAACTGTTCCTGCCCCTGCATCTCAGAAGACTTAAAATAACATTTTCTAACCCTTTAAAATACATAATTGTTCAGAGAGCACAACTTGGGTTTGCATAGTTGCATTCCGGTTGATCACAAAAAATGTAGAAAAAACTCCTTTTGACAACTAAGACCAAGGTATAAATGTTGAACTATGGGCACAAAACCATGTTTTAAAACTCCAGTGCAGCAAAAACAAAACACACCATACCAACTGTAAAGTAGAGGTCAACCGATACCAATACCAATAACCTTAACATCAATCTTCCCATATGTGTTGCAGATATTTTTGGGCTGATTATTAGAGCCAATATTGCTGTTTTTCTTGCTCATCTATATGATACAAATGATGATAAACATGACTTAAGTCTCAATGTAAATAACAAGAAACATTTAGCTGTGAGATCAATAATTATGGATAGAAAACAGGAGTGTTGCATCAATACCGATACCAGTATTGGGCGGGGCCCCGATCCAGCAATAAAATGGTGGTATCGGCATCGGTGAGTACCAAAAAATAGAGCATTGATAACCATTTTGAGAGCCAACGTTTTTTCAACTATTGTCTCCCATTCCAGGTAGGCAATAAAAAGTTCTACTGGATTCATTTTGTATTAGTCTTTTTCCTGCTTCGCAAAGGTAGGCAGCAGCTTGATAAAGCCATGATGGCAATTATTTTATATCCAGTAGTATGCAGTTCTTTATATAAACACACACATCAATTTCAAACAGATGGTATCGGTATCGGCCAATAATGCTCAGCCAGGTATCGGTATCGGGGCCATAAAATGGAATTGGTGCAACACCAGAAAACAGGGGGAGCAGCAATGCATGGCTGCCAAACACACATAGAATATTCTTGCTGAGCCCCCCTTTTGTTTACATGAACGTTTTTTCTCTAACCCATTTCTAAAGTTTTCAACAGTGAAACAAAGAAAAGTCAACATCAGTAAATTAAATATTGAAATTAAATAAACTACAATCCACTTTAAATTGCTACAACTACCAAATTTGAAATGCAATTATTTAGTAAATGTAAAAATGAGTGCTGTCAAAATTATCGCGTTATTATCGCGTTTAACGTGAGATTAACGCTATATGGTTTTATGGTACAATTTTCCAAGTACATCCCGCTGCAGCCTGCGGGAAGGCGGGGCTATTTTCCCCCAGTCTATGCATTTTCCATAGGCTTCGAGAGCGGAGCTCCTCAAGGAACAAAGACGCTCATACACTGGGTAGCGCTAGTGCGTTTTCTTTAAGCCCCACCACCAACAAACAAGTTGAGTGTCTGGTGCCTACAGCAACCTGAAATA